AAATATAAAAGGTTTGGGATCATAAAGTCCACTCATAAATTCAATATGCATGATGGATTAATATTGCTCATACCTTATGACTTGTAAGCATTAATAAATACTAAAGATTAAATGAAAAAATACATAAAAGAAGGCAACATGAGGGGGCATTACTTCGATGTGTACACACATACTGGCTCACAAGCCACTGGTAATCAATAAAAATCCATGAAGTCAACCTATGGCTTTATATAACAGTTTTTTTTTTAAATAGATTTATTGATCCATGGAACATGCTGTTGAATGTCAGAGGCCCCACATTTCTCCCTCTGCATTACTGTGGGTGTTCTTTGTGTCACCATTGCCCCAGGCCTCAGAGACTGGGTCACTCGAGACATCTGTCCTTATCGTGTCATGCTCAACAGTCCTGTCAGGCTTGTATTTATCACCGGCCCATGCACATACCACACATTCTGCAATAGACTGGAATGAATGGTCACTTCACAATGGGTTCCAGTTTAGGGTCAGTTGTTACAGATTGATTAGGAGAATTTGTGGGTGCCACTTGCCCTGACAAACAACCCTAGATACAACTGATGACAAGTGCTTAAAGTGAAAGGTGTAGAACAGTTGTATGGCACTGCATTGAATTAATTAATAGTTTATGTGTTTTCTTTTATGGTGTTTTGACAGCCTTCTGGAGACTCACACTGGGACCAAGCAGGCCAATAACCTGCTGGGGGAACACCTGCACATAGCTGTGAGAAAACTAACATCAAGATAAGAATACTGCATTCACAACCTACTTGCCCCTATCATGCAAATCTTATTCTCTGTAATGGTATTTGTGTGTGCAGTCGAAGAGCATGGACAGTGAAAGGAAGTACCTACAAAGCCGTGTCTTGCAGCTGAGCTCAGCGTTGGAGGATGCCCACAGGACCATGGCAGCCCTGGAGAACATCAATGTGAGCACACTGCCATCTACTGGACATTCCTGCACACTTCCACATACAGTAGAAGTCCACCCTACTGCCACTACATTTTTAGAACATACATTTTTTGGTCAGATCAGTATTCTTTAACCCTTGTTTAGGTTGGTCACTTTAATTTCCTCCCTGTTTCACACAGACTTTTGCAATTGCAAAACATACTTTACATTTTATACATTAAATGATACAAAATGTGTGACATCGGTAACTGCAACTTGAGAAAACTGATATCAGTTAAACTTGACAAAAAGACAACGGAAAGTTTTTTCTGAGATTTAACACTTACATTTTGTTAAAATTGCTTAGGGACAACTGGGAGCAACCGTGTGTGGAAGACAAAAATTCTATCCATGTGACCTGATCTGGGTCCAGTGTTGTAATAGAGATTGCACATCACCCCTAAAATGACACAAGCACATGACAAGTTTTTTTTAAAATAGTTGAGGTAATCACAAATGAAAGAGAGGGTCATTATAGAAAGTCTCTAGAAATGTGACAATGCCATAATGTTTCTTCTTTTTCTCTTGCATGGGTTGAATTCAGGGTTACTGTTTGTGTTTGATGTCCTAACCCCAGGTGTCCTGCTTGATAAAGGAGTTATTGGAGAAGGACTTTGACTCAGCTGAGGCCATGCAGAGGTTTTTGTCGACCCCTGCTGCGATCAGTCATTCTGTTGCCTCCCTACAAGCACACAGCCAATCACCTAAAGTGGAGGAAGCAGCACATGATTGGTTGACAAAATCAGAGGCAGGTCTGCAGAGGGTCACACCTTTTGTGCCGTTTAAACAGGGGGTGCCAACAACAGGAACTACAGCCTGTCACTCAGGCGAGTTTGAGTCCTGCCACAGCCCACCTTTCTCTGTAGCCGACATTGGCACTGCTATCTATAAGAAAATGGCTTCTAGTTATCCTGACAGACCACAAACTCTCTATCCCCAAAGGCAACAGCAGCCTGTCCTGGGTTCTATGCACACTGACACCTCTCCAAAACCCCAGCAGCCCCATGTAGGTGGTGACAGCTGGGGTGGAGAGGCAGGGGTGAATGTAATGCTTTTGGAGCAGAATGTTGTGGATGTGACCTCCATGTCAGCCCAGCAGATCCTGGATGATTTCCTGCAGCAGCTGCAGGCCCATAAGGAGCCGGGTGGAGGGAAGGAGCAGCAGGACGATCAGGAGTGGGTGGGAGGAGTGGAACAAACAGGCAAAGCTGCAGATGGAAAATACCATCCAACAGCATAGCAAGATGAATATGTATTCTCATCTTATTGCCTTGGAATATATTTATTCATATATGTCACTCCTGTCTGATGAAAAAAGTTGTGGATTTATTTATTAATTTACTTATTTTGGGGGCTTGAATATAATATACTGTACATTTAGGGTGCCTGTGGGCTGTTGAAGGCGTTGCATATTATTATATAGGCTATATATTATATTGTAGGATATTATATTATATTATATTTGCATATTATTAAAGCATGAAAACTATAACATTTGGATGCACAGTACAAGATTTTCACACAAGAGCAGCATTTTCACGGAAAGGAAAAATGTTTAATCTTCCAGCGACTGCATCAATAAAATGAACGACTCAACAGTTAAATGACAAAATATTTAAATGGTTGAAAATATTATTATATATCATTATTGTAACCTGTTTAAAGTATGCTTCATTTTGTCTTTCCACTTAAGTGTTATTTTTCATTATGTTACATTTGCTGTCTGTTCCCTGTTAATTTTCTCCTGAATAAACAAAAAGCAAATTGGTCACTTAAAGTGTTAAGTTTGTTTTTACAGTAGACAACATCTGCTTCAGCAGAGAGAACACAAATGACAGTTGACCTTTCAGATATATCAGTACAATGAAAGACAAGGCTTTTTTAAAATTGGAGACATGAAGGAGTTCCTTTGATTCTGTACCCAGGAATAACAGGTTCTGATGTTATCGATTAGTGTTACACAGTAACTGTAGTGTCTAATCAGAGTAGCTTTTTATATTACTGAGTTAATTGGTTATTACTGATCTACAAAGACTGATAAAGCTCATGATGTTTGGCACTAAGAACCTTTACAAATGTAAGATTCACTGACCTCATGAAGCACTGCATCACTTTTCATGTGCTTCAGTGAGATTTTTAAATTATTTATGTAAAATAGCATTTTAAGTTAGAAGAAAACACTTTTTTTTTTTACTGAGCATGCATAGACCTGTGTAGATATTTATAAACTCTGAATATGTATGATGTTATTTTACTCTGCACAGCCCTTGTCTCTCATCAATGTACACTATACACTCTGCACCACGTAGCTATGAATACTGCTAGTCTACATCAAATCATTATGTAACCGTGTCATTACAGCTGTTCTGTCAATTAAATCAGTTATGTTAAATCAATGGAACATCTCAGATCACTGACATCTGTTCATTATCTCTTGTTCTCTTTCTTCTTGTCAACTTCAAATATCCTAAGGATTATTTTCATTTTACATAACAAACAACATAAAAACAGCGCTCCTGTTCTCAAAGCCTAAACAGTGGCTGGGCCAAAACTGCCATGCTCCTCTTCAGTGTGGTGCAAATCTTAAATGTTTGGGATTTTCAAAATGACCAATTAATGGTGGGGTGGTCAAGAACATTAATGGATAATTTAGGGAAGTAAGAGTTTTTGTTTATTATGTTTGTTATAAGAACTTCAACCTCATTATATCTCTGACTCAAGCTGTCATAAATACTTATGATAATATTTAATCCTATTGATACAACCACACTGACCTCCCTCCTCCTGATTGCACCGTTTTTATAAACCTCTTCTCCACTGTCTTACTTTCATCTGAATTCAGTAGCCAACACACATTTCAGTCCATTAGTGGTTATATGACTTGTCTTAGAGAATGTAATCATCACATGGGGTGTACACCTTTTTCAAGACATAAACCCATGCAGACATACTTTTCCTTCATGAGTGCAGACATTAAAGTATGTTAAACTTAATATAGACAGTAGAAAGTAAGTACTAAAAAGTGCTCAATACACAGAATAGACAAAGGACAAAATGTTTAAACACCCCAACCTCATGCAAGCAAAAAAATAAAAAATAAACATCACAAACTAGAAACACATTAATGTAAATTTGAGATATATGCACATAAAGTATAATATATTTGTACTATACAAATAATAACTATATGCAAGACAATAGAGATATTTAAAAAAGCTGATATATTCCCCTCATTTCTCAAAACTAAATCATTTATCAAGTTGCCAACTTTATTTATTAGTTTGGATAGAGTTTGGAAGATCCACTTACAGTTATTAGTTGGCTTTATCTTATGGTTAAGCATGGAAACTGTGTTTAGTGTAAATAATGGAAAGAAAACAGAGAGTTTATTAAATGTCATCTGTAACATTTGGTTTAGGCTGTTTCTATTTTTTGCTACATGTCCTGACCTTTTATAACACAATGAAAACCATTCCCACACCTCATTGCTTTAGTCTCAGCTGACTGTGTTTATTATATTTCCTGTGTCTCTGAGACACCCATCACGCTCTAGTCTGTACTGATGGATTTCAGGTAGGGCCAGCTGTCATAACAGTCCATTACGTGCCTATCAGAACAAGTTTGCTGATCAGACACTGGCCTGCTTTCTCATTGGCCCTGGACTGTAATAGGATCCCAGGGACTCTGCTGGGGGGGATTATGGCTCCAAACTCTTGACTTTGACCAGTCTCTGTGTCCTCCAACCATGGGTACAGCGGTTTAGGGGGGGCACCGCACATGCATGGACCCAGTGAGGCACCATCAAAAAGATAACATCACGACAAGAAATTCTTGGTTTCAGTTTGAAGTGGGGTGGGGGTCCAGGGTGGGGTGACCAATCATCAGCACGGAAAAACCATTTCATTCATTTCTGGGAAAAGGATTATCTCTTTTCTTCTATAATTTATTGATCAACAACATTCTCACATTTTTCCGTGTTTTTGCTGTGCAGTTTGGATTATAAAGGATCTTTTCACTTTCAGCTTCCAAGTGACAGGTTTAGGTTTCCTCTAAGGCCGACTGTGCCCTTTACTATTTGAGGGATCTACCTGCTTATCCCCTCTGACTGGAACAACTTAGATGAGCTCAACCTGCTAATAACTCACTAAACAACAAGAGCAAGGCCTGCATCGACCCCTGTGTTTTTGAAATACTGAACGCATCCTCTAGTGACCTCTCTATGGTTTGTCTTTTTACAAGCAGCTGGCCTCCTCTGGACTGGCTCAATTTTGTCCAGGATTCTTTATATTCTGTTGCTTTCTGACCTTCTCTTCCTCCTTTCTCTCCTGTTTTTGTGCTGCTGGGTGCATAGCAGTGAGCCATGGTGCTGCTGAAGATGAAGTTCACTCAGCAGAGGCGGGTTCATCTGGCCCAGGGTCTATGGCTACTGTCCTGGCTGGCAGTGATGTGCGGAGCCTTCGTATTTTGTCTGGGGGTTTACCTTAAGACAGAGCTTCTCCGTAGGGAAGAGGTAGAGAGGGAAATATACTTGCATAAATACACATACAGTATACACACATATTACTGTAATGTAGTGTCAGTTTATAGAGTAGTCCAAGTGAGATCAAAGTCTAAAAACACTGGCATATGGTGTATGCTCAGACTTTTGTCTTTGCTTGTGGGTAATGTAAAATAACCAATAGGTGAAGGTCACAATCTCTACAAGACTGGTTCATTTGGAGGCATTGATATCCACTGGGCTGCACAAGAAAGCTGCAGGCAATGAATGTATGCCTTCAAATATTTATTGATCTCCAGTGAGAGAATATCCTGATCTCTTAGAGTTTAGCTGGTATACAGATGGCTTAGATGAGTGAAATGCAAGAAACACTGTGACCATCAGAATGGTGTCAAGAAGTTACAGCATCTTGCAGAATGATTCACAAGTGTTTGATCCTCATTTATACTTGTTATTCAAATATCTCAGATATATCATCACATTAAGAAAATTAGTTTTGCACTTTACGATTTGTACATGTTATTGGAAAAAAAGTTGAAATTATTGCTTCCTTAACAGAGCAACCAGAGGCAGAGATTGTTTATGTTTTATAAGATGTTATGGGGTGAGGATATTAGAAGATGGCAGCAGCACTGAACTGAGTTTTAATGGTAATTTTAAAACAACAATGGGGTTGATTTATTTTCCCCTAGCTAACAGGCATTTCAAAAGTCAGCCAATAATAAACTCACTCCATAATTGACTTTTCTGGAACCAGGGCAATGAATTAAATTTGTCATCATACTGCCATTGTAACCTGTGCAACCAGCATATCAGCAGCTAATTGAATCTCTTAGCTGCCAAGGTCAAGGTTTAGAATAGATAACACTAATTGAATGCAGGATTATTACCTGCTGAAGTGTGGGGAGAAAATGACAAAGTGGACTGCAGCTGGCTGCTGCTCTTGTGGCTACTGTCTCTCACTCTGCTCTTCCTTTCTTGAGGTGATGGACAACACAGAGATCCATGTGGTGCCCAACATCCTGATGATGGTGGGCCTGGCCTCTGTTGGCACCAACTGGGTTGCCAGTCGTGTGTGTCAGGACTCCTTGGAAGGAAGCCGCTTCCCCCGTTGGAAGGTTCTCCTACTGGCGTGGTTTGTTGTAGCAGCACTGCTCTGTTGTCTGCTCATTGCAGCCGTGGTACTCAGCTATGCTCTGCAGGGACACCTGGAGGAGTCCCTGAAGGTGGGGTCACTATGCTGGGTAATGATTAGGGGTGACAGGTCAGAGGGTAGAGTAGGTGTTGATGTGGCTGTGTGGAAAATCCCATAATAGGACTGTGATTTCTGAGCCTAAACAAAACAAAACAAAACAAAACCGGTTTCCCCCAAGCTTCTGTGGCTAAAAGAGAGACCAAACTGGTTGTTTTAAATGTATTTCTAAAAACATTTAACCAACATAGTGAAAGATTAGAACTCTTACATTTTTAAAAATAATGCACTAACAGCAGAAAAATCTTCCTTCAAAATTCAGATTTTTAAAAAATGTTTAAGAGTTGTAGATGCAAAAGGAAAACCAGACATTAGCTGCATTTTTGACAAACACTACAGTAAATCCATCAAATAAAAACATCCCCTTCTTTCTCTTTCACATTTCTCTCCCCAATGCCAGGTGGGCCTGAGGAATGGTATTCGTTTCTACAAGGACACAGATGTGCCGGGCCGCTGTTTTCAGAAAGAGACCATCGATCGTCTGCAGATGGAGTTTCGCTGCTGTGGAAACAACAACTTCAGGGACTGGTTTGAGGTTCAGTGGGTCAGCAACAGATACCTGGACTTCACCTCCAAGGAAGTCAAGGAGTGAGTGAATTGCAGTACAGGGATGAGCAAATATATGAAATGCAGAGAGGTGAGATGGTAAATTAGAAGCAGACTGATAAGGGAAGTGAAGAAAAGAAAATAAAGGTCTAGATGAGTGACAGATAAGTAGACTTCATATCCACAAAGGTCAAACAATATGTTATAGAGGAAGGATAAAGGTGTGGTGGGATAAAAAGAATGGTGTGGGAGCAGAGGAAGAGTGGATTAAAAATAGTTCTGGCCTTTACTTTGGAAGTAAATGACAGAAATGAATGCAAAGGTTGGAAATGCAGCAAACAGAGAAGGGTTGGTCAAAGATGAAATAAGTGAAGAGGAATGAGCAAACTGAAAGGATGTGACACCATGACACTTGAATAGAAGCACTGCTCATTTCTGACTAATGTGAAGTGTACTGAGCTGAAAGTCAGGCCTTTAACTGGCTTGAAATTAATATATTCTGTGCTTAGCCTCTCAAAGGTAAATGGACTTTCTACCCTCTGTCCCTTCTTTCATTACTTTGACTCTCTTCTTACTTTTCTCCCATTTCAGTTCCACTGTCTGTTTGCTCACTGTTTCTCCTTTCTCTGTCTCCAGTCGTATCCGGAGTAACGTAGATGGACGTTACTTGTTGGATAGTGTTCCTTTCAGCTGCTGTAACCCGGCCTCCCCTCGCCCCTGCCTACAGAACCACCTGACAGATAATAGCGCCCACTACGACTATGAGTATCAATCGGAGGAACTCAACCTGTACAACCGTGGCTGTAGGCAGGCTCTGATCGACTACTACATGGGTTTGATGAATTCAATTGGTCCCGGTGTGCTGTCAGTCATTTTAATACAGGTGGGTTACCTACACAGCTCTACAGTTACTCTGTAACTGTGGTAAAATAAAGGAAATGCAGCATTTGCACAAAGTGCTCTTTGTTGTGATTTTGTTTTTAAAAGAGACATTTACTCCTCCAAGTTCCTGTCACAGAGTGAGAAGACGTTTTTCCCCAAATTACACAAACACACACATACAAAGAGACCTACACGCACACACATGCACATAAACAATCACAAAAACTGAATGTTAAATAAGAGTTGTCTACTGACGCAGCTGTCTACTGCCATGACAACTGACAAAGGAAACTCCCACTGACTCACAAAGATTGTCAAAGTGCCTTCTTAATCAAACAGACACTTTCACTCCTTTGCCAAATGACACTATTGATGCCTTATTTTCTGGAAGCAACAAACAAGCCCTCGAGCTGCAGCAGGAAGCTCACGCCCATACTTAACAGAGCATCATTACACACCGCTTCCAGCTAATCTAACAATCTATACCATTAAATGGAGCACCTCAGTGTGGGGATTTTTTTTCTAGTCCACTGTGACAGGGACAGATGGCTGCCAGGTGAAGAGCTACTCAGACAGCAAGCTGGGCTGTAGATAATGTCTGATTTTCAACCAGAAGTGCTCTATCACACAAAAAGAAGGTCAAGGAACCAAGAGATAAAACTAAAGATGTGTCATGCACCATTGATTATGTCATAACATTTTATTTTTCTGCAGGTTTTGTTTCTTTCGGACTGCAGCGATGTTTACTCTTCATTGTTTCTCAATGTTTGGGGAAGTGAACCCATTTTGTGCAAAAGAGACTATGTAGAAATTACTGGGTTGGGCAGGGAAGTTGGGCCTTATACTTCACTTTAATTGCAGTATATTTGGCTGCTCCCTCTGACTAAAAACTACAGACTTTAAAATTGTGTACGCTAACCTTAAGCTTAACACTTAAGCTTAACACTTAACCTTTTTTGGAATTTGAGCTTATTTAAACAACTGTTGTGCCAAGGAAGGCTGAAATAGAATATACTGTAAATGACTATGAAGGAATTTGGCCATCCAATATGCTTACAAACTGCACGATGACACTGATTTTAGATGACATCTTCACAGCATCCTTGCTTTTTTTCTTTCTGTCCAGATGTCAGTGCTCCTGAGCCTGAGATACTTGCAGACGGCCGTGGAAGGAGCAATGGCTCTGGAGAACCCAGAGGATGACAGTGAAGGTTATCTCCTGGAGAAGGGTGTGAAAGAAACCTTTGAGGAAATCAAAGCCAATGTTCTCAGTATGCTAAAGTTCAGGCAGGTTGACCCCACCTCCACTGAAGAGTCCCCTGAGGCCGCAAATGCAAAGAAGGTTGCTGATAACACCAAGGAGAAGGCTGGCTCCTCTACTCCTGCCAGCTAGAAATATGAGCTGAGGTGGAAGGGATGGGGGGAATGTGTCAGAGGTTTCTGGGGTGTGTGAGCTGGCTGGTGCAGTGTAGAACACCTGTTGGGATTTGACACATTAGGCTTGATTTACACTTCACTAATGAAGCAAATTCATATCCCTCACACACGGCCAAAACAAGGCACTGCACAGGGAATCTTATCAGGCTCTGTACAGACACCACAACAAACATCTCCTCTGTGCACTTTATAAATGTGTAACCATCTGTAAATCGCTTCAGGAGATGTGTAGTACTTTTTGTTGCATCTAGAGGAGAATACATTCAGTTTAAATGGGTGTAGCGAACACATACTGACATATATGACACATTCTTTGTCATTTTGACTCAAATTTGGCAAAGTCACACTGCTGCTAAAGTTCATCCCATGTGCACTGTATTATTCATGTCACAGCTGTAGTCTTTGCACTAAACTGCAATGAAATGCTTAGGAACCATTAAAATTGGCAACACACATGAATTATATATTAAAGATAGATGTTTTTAACTGCTTTGCAGCGTCAGTTTCCTTTTGTACATTTAATATGAGTGAGTGTATGAACTGACTGCAGGTTATCTGAGTTCAGCAAGTAGAGTTGGATTAAGTACGTGTATTTGTGTGTATATGTGTGTGTGATTGTAGTACCTCGTTTGAAGCTGTCATCTTGACTATTCTGGCAGCTTTGGAACAATCTGATAATCCTGGTGTAGTTAATCTCAAAACTGCTACACACGCAGTATCAGCACACACTGACAGCACACACACACACACACACTCACTAGTACAACGCATCAGAAATGATTTTATCAAGCAATTTTACAATGCTTTTTATTTTTAAATATATCGGGGGACCTGCCCCAACTACAGTGTGTGTTCATTCCTCTTAAATAAAACTTTATCATAGAATCAGGTCAGTGAATGTTTTCAGATACACATTTTCAGTGTTTACAGAAAGATATGTTCCTTTTTCTATTAAACACAGATAGTAGATGATTAATATTACTGTAACACAACAGTTACCATAGTTAGTTTTTTTTAAATAATCAAAATATTTAAGATTCCCAGTAGTCAAACACACCCACTGTGGACCACATGTGTTCAAAAAAAAGTCCATATGATTGTTCACATGCCACATTAATAAACTGTCTGTGTAAACTTTCAGACGGAAAGAGGTTTATATGACAGCTATAAACCCATATCTCAGAATGAGTCACTGTCAAATGACAGTGTGCTGCAGATATAAAAATAATTTCTAAAAATAGTGTTCAGTGTGCAGGAAGCACAGCAGCTAAATAAAAATAGAGCTGCTTGATTACGCTCCCTCTCCGAGTGTTTTTGTTGTTGAAATAATGATGTAAGGCATTAAGTATTTTAAAACAGGCCAACAGGAACTTTAATTCTACCACCAGGGGGCATTATTGCACAGTATATGAATCGTCTTTAGTAAGTAGCCCATGTTCTGATGAAGACGTAGAGAAATGTTTGAGCTACTGCAACTTTGTCAGGGAATGACAATAAATTCATTGAAAATTTTCGTAATAATAATAAAATTACATAGATTTGTGGTGGTGTATCTTGGGGAAAACGCTTGTTTGGTAAAAAAAAAAAAAAAAAAAAAAAGTAGGCCTACATCCTATAACCAAACAGGTTAGGCCTTCATCAACAACTGTTGATAAGTAAACATTTTTAAATGGCGTTTGGTGCATGTTTGTCTTTAATGCAAAATAAACAAATCTACTTCAACAGGAAACGAGGCCTAGATTTCAAGATAATCTGTCTCCAGGCAAAACACACAGCTTGTTTTGTCATATAGTCTATAGTCTGTTTTAGGGAATGTAGTTGCGTATTTGGATAGATCGTGTTTGTGATGTGTGTGTGTGTGTGTGTGTGTGTGTCGATGTCGGAAAAAAGGCAACGTGCGATTTGAAAATTCCGGTGTGGTTTTGCAATGAAACTGTCACACAGTCATAGAGAGGAAGAGACAGCAGGGTGGAGGGAGGGGAAGGGCCGCAGAAATGTCAGACTACTGCACTTGACGCAAGATGGATTCTTTCTTTGATTCATTACCTAGGCTACATATCGTTGGAAATACTTTTAATTAGCTGTCTTCTGTAGTGTTTCACAGCGCTCGTAACACAATAATGGACTCGAACATTATGGAGATAATAGAGGAATTCATGGAAAGTGCTTTGGCGCAATGGGTACGTCATTTATCATTTATCATTTGCTGTTAGAGAAAAGGTCGTCATTTCTAGAGGCAAAGAGAGGACAAAACAACAGCACTGTGTAGAAACTGTCCAGTGATCAGTTCTGCGGGAAGTGCTACATTAATTTCCAGTCGCAAATATTACAAATAACTTTCAGAGCAGTCAGCTATTCAGCTCTATTCTCCTAAATAAATAAAAAGGAGATGAATAAACAGTACTGTAGCCTAGATAGTTTTATCTTTTTTTGCCATTGTGTATAGAAAACAAACACTACTTCTCTTTTTAGCAGCTTCCCTTGCCTCTTAGTGACCAGTTTTTTTCTGCCTAGGCCTCACACTTCCGTGTCCTTGGGCTGTTTCTCATTTGACAATAATACAATGTTATCTACTGTGCATTCAAGAGACTATAGTCTCTCTAAAAATCAACTGAGGATTTAGCCCATTCATAACAGACTGACATTTCAGCTGGGTTTTCCTCAGGGGAACCCAATCAGCTCAAGGGGATTTTCTACCTTCTGGTCAATGAACAGTATTTATGATATAATGCTGGGCCTTGTAGGGGTATTTTCTTTAGTGTTGCCCTCTTCCAAAGAGGGGGTCAGAGGTCAGGTTCAGTAGGATGCCTGAAGCTGCCAGAGGTTTAGGGTAGATTTTAGGCAGGTGCATCAACTGACAGGAGGATCTTCACCCTCTCATATGTTGAAATACATCCCTTCTTTGCCCTTTTGTGCAGGGCCTCATGTGGCTCTGCCTCTCCTTATCAGATGAACCAACTCAAGCTTGTTATTTTGTTTACCAACAGTGCGGTTTTTAGAATGTGCAGGTGGGAATAAACCTCATTATACTGCTGCAGTTTGCATTGGCACAGCTCTTCTTAGGAGAGAGAAAGACCTTGGCTGTGGTCCTGCCTGGCTGCCTGTCACTGTGAAGTGCTTCCCAGTGTGAAAGCACAGATCCCACCTGTCCAGACAGGTGCACCGACTCAAGTGGCTTCCTGTATGAAAATGTTTGCACCCCTCCATCCCACCCCTTGTCTCTCTCTCTTCTACCCCTGTCTCTCTGCCTTGTCCACCTCCTGGTACACACTCCTGGTGCGCTTTTCTCTACACATACAACATAATTCCTCCTTGTTTCTTACAGGTTCAGCTGTTTGAGAAGATGGTAGATGGGGACGATGGCATCCCACTCTACAGCCAGTATATGGAAGTGAACTCAACTCCTCAGAGTATCCGGGCTCGCTACCTGAGGCTGACCAATGGGATTTTTCTCAATGAGGTCATGAGATTAATGTAAGAGCCTTGGAGTCTTGCACTGGCTGCAATGACAGTGCCCACCGGACAAGACAAAATGAGAGGAGCCTATAAATTTAGAGTATGAAACAAAGTGCTCATTTTGAGCCATTTTATGGAAACAGAGTAGTAACTGAAAAAATAAAGCTTTTATTAATAAGGTAAAATGGAAATGCACCCACAATCCATTCTCCACAAAAACACCAAGGAATTTCTTGTCTAAAAAGCATTCAAATAAGTATGGCTAGTAAATTATAAGTACTGTAAGTATGGCTTGTTTTGAGCCATGCTAGTGACATATGCCTCTAGATGGATGGCAAAAATAAATCATGTTGGCATTGAACAGACATTTAATCTTGTGGTATCATTTGTTCTGCATTTTCTATTTGTCCAGTTTGATTGCTTCATGACAAAATTCTTGCAAAACTTGTAACATTTCCTTTGTGATTATTACAAATTAGCTGATGTTATCATGCTAATACTTCTGACACCTTCATAACATCAGTGTGATAGCATTGTCATTGTTAGCATGCTAGTGTTAGCAGCCTCACAGAGGAGGGTTACATTTTCTTCATTTAGTCAATTTTCTTACATGAAATTTGACAAAACATTTCTTTTTGTAGTCTGTTGTGCAGTCTCTGTTAAAGGATGGCATGAATGTATGACCCATTCATATTTGCCACAAATTTCCAGTGAATGATGAAATGGGCTTCTGCATATGTGGCACCCTGTTAGGTGTCCCTGCTGAATTCCTTATTTCTTTGTTCAAATTTCAGCAGAATCAAACCTTTCTTCTCATCTGGCCAGACAAGAACCTCAGTGTTTGCCAAACAGCTGATTAATTTTGCCTGACCTAAGTCACATTATTTCAACAAATAATTGCATGTGGATTCTCGGTGTGTACTTCGCAGGCTCATTAAAATTTTATTCGGTCTCTGCTTAAATGAACTGTTGCATAAGAATTTCTCATCATGGTGCTGGACTGTTTGATGAAGCTGCAGTAAATATGCCAGCGTGTCTTTTCTGTGTTTGTCCCAGAGACCCAAACCCCAAGGTGGAGCGGCTGTACGACAGCGAGAGAGATGACCACATGCTGAGAGTCCAGAACTTTTCCATTTTAAATCGACACCTCAGAGCCTTTTACCAGGTAGGGGAGGGGCACAGGGAGGAGGGCGGTGAGGTTGAAGAGTTAGATCATATCAAAAAGAGAAATCAGTGGTGATGGTCTGAGGGTCAACAGAGCATGCACAGGTTTTCTCAAGAATTTTAAACATGTCTAATCTCAGAAGGGTGAAACCTGCTGAATGTGTAATGAACCTTCCACCTGTTTCAGGATTGCATTGTTTTTGTAATTGGTGAGATGGAATTCATAAGAGTTTTGATCACAGTGGAAAGAACTGAAGCTTGTCTTCAGCAAAGCAGTGTTCTTTAGCTCATTGTTTTGGTTTCATAGCCTGCAGCTTTACTGTTCTGATAAACTCTGAGAGTCCATATCAACTTGTTTCCAGCCAGAGAAGGTAACTATTTTTAGCAGAAAAGCTTTTGATAAATCCACGTACGCTACCTGCCCATATCCAAACACTGGATAAATACAGTTATCAGCTTGTCACAATTTGAGGATGTTGTGGGAAGGCTTTCAAACTGAATTACCCATTTGGCATTAATAAGGTTGTCTGAACCTGAATTTGAAAATGGAGCATGCAGCTGCTAAGAAGGAAAGAGACGGCTGGACTTGCATTCATCCAGTAGACTGAACCATGAGAAAATGACAATATTGCTCTGTGTCTAGTGGATGTGGAAGCATATGTCACTGTTGTGTTTTCACTGCTTGTGCATTTGTTAAAATACCTTCCTATGTCACTGTTGTGTTTTCACTGCTTGTTCTCACATTAACCTACTAAATCACATGTAGTGTAGTTAATATTTTTATATTCATATGTACGGCATTGAGACTAGCCAAATATCAAGCCAATTGTAACTGTCAATGTGCTTTAAAGAGACAAGATGCTGTTTTTTTATTTTTATTTGTATGCCTCACTCTTTTCTGAGATTTTATGAATGACCATGAAAGCATCTAAACCTTTGCTTATTTGCTTATTACATGCTCTTATTTGTATGCTTATTCACTTGGAGAGACTCATACTGCTCTCTTAGTTGTCTGTTCGACAAGTTATGCAGCAGCAGCCAGCAGCTAGCTAGCTTAGCTTTGCACTACTAAACAGGGGGACACAATTAGCCTGAGTCTGCCAAAATCCACCTGCCAGCACTTCTAAGCTCGTAAGGCTTGCTTGTTTTATCCGTATAAAAGCCAAAGTGTAAAAGCAACTCAGCCACAACATGTTAATTTTACATCCAGTTTAGTTGCAATTAAGAAAAGAAGATGCTAATTAGTGACCTTTAAATGTGTTGGGAGGGAGGAATGCCTTTTTTTGCCTTTATACAAAGCCAGGCTGACTGTCTACCCCTGTTTTCAGCCTTTATACTAGGCTGATCGGCCGTTATTTATTACACAGACATACCTATATAAGAGTGGCATCAGTTTATTTATGAGACCCTAGGTAAGAAAGCAAATGTGCATTTTCCAAAATGTCAAACTATTCCTTTGAGTTGTATTCATAGTAGTTTGATCTCTGTGTAAGTAAAACCTCAACAAAGCTTTATACCTCAGCAGTAAGTCAAGTCACTGCACAGAGAAGTAATGCAGAGTCAAACCTGCAACACACTGATACAGGCTCCACAGTCATTTTGGAAATGGCCTGACTCTAGTTTGAACTCCATCTAATATGATTTAAGAAAGTGTCTTGAATAGCCCTCTAGCATTTTTTTGTGGATGGACTGAAATGACTCTGAGTTCATTAAAAATAGAAAGGTCTTGTAAAAATGCTGAAATATTCTTCTAAAACATAACTCAGGGCCATACCAAATGGCGAGGGAGAGGATGGGGAGGGTGGGGGAGGACTGGAAAAGCAGTTGTCTTGCCATGAGGCTGTGAAAACAGGACGAGATGAAGCTCAACTATCAGTCTCAACAAATATTCTCAACACAAATACTCTGCCTAAGGAAGAAAGTTTGAAGTGTGTGGAAGGGGTGACAGAGCATTTGCACGAAAGAGAAGATGAAAACATGCGATTTCCATCCTCACTAGGCAAATGTGGTGAGAGAAAGTGGAGGAGTGGCAAGCTGAACTCTTCTGCTGCAGCTGTGGGTAGAGGGTTAGGAAGGAAAGAGAATAAAATTTTATCAAATAGCTCTTATTATCATGTGTTTCATAATGTGTACGCCTGTGGCATTTGAGGAAATGACATTTTTTTCCCCACAGGATGATTCAGATGCTTATGTCTCTTATTAGTCAGGACTGAACACACGTTGCTTAGCTTGTCACACAACATAAACACACAAGTGTGCAAGATTTCACTTCCTAATTTTCATTAAATTGCCAATGTTTCGTGAAAGCTCAGGGCAGCATATGACACTGGCGATAATTGGGAAGCTCACACTGTTCGACTAGAATTTCACCAGGTGCACTCAGAATAGGCTCCATTGTTGCTGTGGACAGTTATTTATACATGGTTCATGGTTTTAGTTCTTCCTCTCTCTTTTTGTACTGTGTTTTTGTTCATATTTGTGTGTGATACAGTGACAGGACTGTGGTGAGTGTAAGCCACAGCAACAATGCAGCCTGGGAGGGCTTGATCTTCTCTGCAGAGACCTCGGCTTCTCTAGCACAGTGACAGAGCTATTTGTGTCGAGGATATAGGAAGAGCACTTCTACTGTACTGTACAAGTGTTGTCAGGAAGCTTTGTGTTGTTGTTGGACTGTAATGTATTCCATTTGTTATTCTGTTCTCTTCTACCTTAAGTTATTGGATGTTGTTATACTTTATTGTTCGATTCTGTTTGGTTCTATGGTTCTGTCCTGTTCTGTTGTTTCTATTATTTTGTTCTATTTTATTCCATCCTAGTTGTTCTGTTTTATTCAGTTCAGTTTGATCTGTTCTGTTCTGGTTTGGTTTTTCTGGTTGTTTGATCTGTTCTGTTCAGTTCTATTCTCTTTGTCTAGTCATATTGGGTTCTATTTAATGTCATCTAAGCACCTTTAATGCCTCTGAATGACACTTAATTTTTAACCTTCTGTTAATGTAATGCTAAATGTTAATTTCTCTTGCCTGCTATAGTTTAGTGACCCTCTGCATGTAAGAATCTCTGTCAGCAATAAACTGTGCCATTTATGAAGCTACTGAACATCCAACTAATGATAACTGAATTAACATAAACAACTACAGATGAATCAGGTTTGTACATGTGCATATAGGCAAAAAAAAGAAAAAGATAAAGGAAATAAAGAAAAAGTGAGGCAGCTCACAGAAGCCTAGAAAATCAAAAGTGTTAGTGGGTAAAATGAAAATCAGAACCAGTCCACAGAACATAAAGTGGAATTATTGATAGAAAGATTGAATTTGGAAAAAAATGTTTCACAGATGGATATAAATTCTCTTCAGCACTGCAGCCAGCGGCTTGATGAGAAATGTTCAAATTCAGACTACTGTATACAACAGTAGATTATTTTCAGAGGCAGACTCAGGAATAATTCCTTACTTTTTATTATGGCACTGAAAAAAAAAGCTGTGCATCCTTTTGAAATTAACCTCAAGAGAAACTGGCCTGGAAATCATAATATAGCACAGACAACTGCACCATGTATCACTCATATTGTTAATCTCTTACTTAAGCAGAGAATATTATTTCACCAAATGATGGTGTTTAAAATATAATGCAGGAGGGATTTGAGCAAATACAGTACAGTCTGCCTCATGGTTGTATGGTGGCAGAGAGGGAATTGCCCATGAGGGGACATTAGCAGGCCAACAACAACAAGCAGCTTCTATATAATTTCCAGTCTGGCTAATCTCCTACAGATGCTTATTTGGCATCATGAACCACGAGCTGCACGATGACTGACACAGAGCTGCAGTGGGTAATATCCTACATGCCCTGAAGGAGCATAAACTTCAGGTTGGCTGAACATGCCTTGATGTCAAAACTCATGCACGATGGAGTTACTGAGGGGAGTGCCTGCCTCTTGGTATATTGCCTTTCTCACTGTACAGTTTATAAATTGCAGTAAGCAGCAGAGAGGGCTGTAATTGTGACTTCCTTCTTTACTCTGGAGATGGATGGCAGGAAGATGTGAACAGGCTTTCAGAGCAGTTGGACAAGCAGCTAGCCAATGTCTGTGTGCGGTGCTTTGTCAGAAATGATTTTAATTAACTGGGAAGTTGTTCTGGTCTTTTCTCAGTTTAAGACTAATTAAAGTAGTAAAGCAACAGGCTGATAACGTGCTACACTGGTTTTGCACTATATGGCAATGTAGGAGGAGTATGGTGCAAGTCCACATGACAAATGGTTTTGTTGCCAGAAAAGCCAGGTTTCTGGACGGGGAATGTTTGAGGCGTCTTGTTGTCCAGCTTGATTCAGTGTCATTTGGACTCTGCCAGGACATTTGTCCAAGATCTCAAAGTAAAAATTGCAGCTTGCTCAAACAAGCTGACCACAGGGCTGGTAGGCCTTCTGCTCGCCTTGAACCATCCTTTTTACTCTTTAACACAATAGAAATGCTTTCTTCCACAGGACCATGCTAGAAACATTCAGATGCTTATTTTGGCTGCTTTACAGGAGCAATTTACTGTAGTCCGCAGCAATTTTAAATTGGCCTGTAAGTCGTTTTTCATAGCAAACATTTTCCCTTGTCATGGTTTTTAATTTTATTATTTACACCTGTGCATTTCCCACATTCCTACACTTGCTAACCCTAACCCATCTAAATGTCATCTGTGAAGATAATCGATATTTTAACAATTTTTTAAAAGTAGTTTTTAGGCATTTTGTCCTTCATTTCATAGTAACAGTGTAGAAGTAACAGGAAATGAGGGAAGAGAGACCAGCTGGACTTGAACTGATTATATGATGAGCACTTTGTTCCCCCAGACACCCTATAAACAAATGCTTTGGAAAATGATCCCATGGACAAACAATGTTATGGAGATGCTGTTTCTTACAAGATTTCATCACACCTTTGGTATCTCTGTATTGCATTTTGGTCATTATCAGCCATCATATATCTGTGACAAGATAAAAAAAAAATGCATTAGCCGTCTTCTACTTTGTTGATAGTAATAGGTCCAGGTTGTGTACAATGACTGCTGTAATCTTTGTGGCTCTGTACATTGTTAATTTCCCATATCTGCATTACCCACAATCCCCATATCTTTTAACCACATGGACAACAATAGAAACAGTTCAAGGACTTTACATAGGGCTGTTATCCATTCATCAGGCCTTTTTATGCTTCTGTTACTTTTAGAGAATACTGAATGCTGAAATATATTAAACCTAATCTGTACAAAGCCTCCTTGACCTGGACAACTAAAGAAAAATTATCAGCTATTTGTTTACACCACAAACTGCAGCAGGCTGATGGAAAGTTTTTGTTGTTGCTGTTGTTTAGTCGGGCTCACTGTGGGCAGACAGGAAACCAGGTGTTTTTGGTGTTATTTTTTTCACTTAACTCTTCACATTTATTCTTTTCTTCAGGAAGACCTCCAGCAGCTGATACTGATGCCTCTCCCAAATGTTGCCATTCTGGGGCAGGACCCTCTTACAGGTACAAGATAACAACATGATCCTATTAGTGCCATGTCTCTCAGCAGCAAGAAAGTAATTATGCTTTATATACGAGTCCATATCTCTGCCATCTGTGAAACAGATTAAGGTGATAATGATAAGGAGGATGGCAGCAGTAGTGGTGGGGCAGGGTGGGGGGTGGAGATGATGATGATGATGATGATGATGACAGTTATTTCTGTGTCCTCAGAGGCTGCTGTGGAGGAGCTCAGGCGACTGCTGCTGCTAATACTAGGATGTGCTGTGCAGGTGATCACTCATGACCACCATACTGTTTGAAGGTTGATAACGACACCAGTTTAGTATTTACTGAGCCTGCAGACAGTCGTTTGTACTTGCGTTTAGTTTTTCCCCCCTATATTTTAGCAGTGCTAATGGTATGGTCAGTCTGTCCATTTTTTGATCCAGATTACATACAGAAATGCTTAGTCCACAAAAAATGAATGAATGCTACCACAGAGTTTTATTTTTAGACCCAGTTAATGGCAGGATACCTCTCATTGCAGCATCTCTCAAATTGTTCTGATGGCAGAAGTATTTGTTTGTAGCAGAATTAGACATCTCAGTGAAAATCGGCGCACTCCACAGAGCCTATAAAAAGTATTCAACCCCTTGGAAATTAAATGTTTTACAACAGTAAATCAAAGGGGATTTAAATGGGCTTGTTTTGACACAGATAAACAGAAAATGACCCTTTATTGTCAAAGTGAAAACAGTTCTGCACTCAGTTGTCTAAAGTAATACGTTTGCATTGGTATTCTCTCTGTTTTTATAGGACACACTTAAATAATCACAGTCTGCTGCAGCCACAAGTCACAAACATGGTTAAATGAAGATCCCCTGTGTGTATTTAAAGGGTTTCATTTGACAGTAGCATAAACACAATTGTACTGCTCAGGAAACCTCAGCTTTTTTAGAGACAGTATAATGACAAAACCTACCAAATGCTTGTCAGCCTCAGCTCACATTTAAGTAACTTAAATAATAAGAATAATAAATAATTTAAGTAACTTATTTGCCTTTTGCTGCAGTAGAAGAGTACAAGCAATACTGAAATTCTTTCACAGTTCTTTCAGTCAAAAAACAAGAAGGAGTGAAGGGGTAAAATTAAAAAGAATATGCATTTAGGTCACATATTGAATTAAAATAAATATATACAAAAATAGAAGTAAAAAATACTTCCTCCCATAGTCCAAAGATGTGCAGCTTAGGTTGACTGTGTGAGTCTGTATCTAGCTATAGGGGTTTCACACCAGTGACCTCTGTGCCAGTCCCAAACCTGGATAAATAGAGAGGGTTGTGTCAGGAAGGGCACCCGGCGTAAAAACGTGCCAAATTTACTCATGCAAATCGCATTCACTGTGGCGACCCCTAACGGGAACAGCTGAAAGTTGAGTAGAGTAGTACAAGTAAAAAATACCCTAATATATGCAGTGCCTGCAGTGTGAGCTCATCACTGCACATTGTGTATGCACAGTTTTTTTAGTGTGTATTTGAGAGTGAAGTACTACAATATGAGTTCAGACAAGCTGGGAGCCCCTTTCTCCAGTCTGAATGTCCTTGGTAATTCATCTTACTGTGGATGTTGGACGCTTCTGCTGCACCTCCTGTGGTTTTCAATTTCTGTTTGTGTCTGCCAGGTGAAGAAACGGTGTTCAGGGTTAAGGGTGTCTCTGGGGACGGCCTGTGCCTCGTTCTTGCAGCGGTTGCGGCGCAGTACACAGATGTTAAACATGAGAATAGCATGCTAAATTTCAGCGTCCATTGCTAATGTGTTAACAGTATATTTATTAACATGGTGAATGCTGAGCCTAGTCACCGTAGTCTTTCTCCTGGCACCACCCACCAAGTTGTGATAATGATCCAAAAATATAATAGTTAAATATTTTGTTGCAACATGAACTCTAATATTTAATGAAAGTATTATAGTAGGACTGCATCTAAAGATTATATTCATTATCAATTGAACTCAATTGATCCTGTAAAGTTAAAATTTTGTGAAAAAAAAAAGCCAAGATTACCTCAAATAGCTTGTTTTGTGAGACAAGATAACAGCTTAAAATCCAAAGATATTTAGTTTATATTGTTATATAACAGAGAAAAATAGCACATGATCACAATAGAAGAGCAGTATCTAGTGAATGTTTGACATTTTTGTTTGAACAGTAACCAAAATGATTATTTATCTATGAATTTTTCTGTCAATTGACAAATTATTCTAGGTTATCAGGCTGATTTAGCACATTGTATGGATATATTTTGATGTAACACACACACACACACACACACACACACCATTTTATGTGTCCGCAGTGTGAGAGGAAGGAGACGTTCATTCAGCAGATCCAGTCTCTGGATATTGAGACCCAGGCAGCCATTGCAAGCTGTATTCAGCAGGTACGTTCAAGTGCAGAACTAATCAAATGAAGGACCTCCCAAATATAAAAGGCGTTCACCAACTGACCATAATTTTGAGGGGATATTGTCCATGGAGACACCTCTAATATGATTTAGCAAAGAATTTCTTGGCTGCGTGGCCTGTAGGCAGAGAAAGAGAAACTATTATACCCTCTCCTGGTGCTTCAAGTAAGTGTAAAAATGAGCTACTTGTCATTCTTCTGGCAGCCTTTTAAGAACCTCTGGGAGCCTCTTGCCGCCACCGTAGGATGGATTTTTCACCCCTCATGTCCACCTCTCTGCCTCCACCTCAGTCACATCCTCCTCTCCCCTTCATCTCTTTACTGCCATCCTCTGCTGTCTTCTCCAATAAGGCATAAGTGCCAAATTGTACTTTTTAAAAAATACCCCCTGTGAATTATTGCCGGCATTACAAAAACAGCATGTTGCATACCAGCGTGTCTAAATTACAGTAACAGCATGTTGCCCACCAGCCTTTTCTGTGCCAGGTTTCTCAGCCTTGTAATTCGCAAATGTGAGAGGTGCTCATCCTTTTGGATGGATGCACCCCCTCCTTGCTTTTCGTATGCCTTCCACCCAGGGACATTTCAAACCTGTCTACATGATCATTAGTTTTGGAAGCATTAGTCAGGCTTCTTTGGACACACTTCTCAAATAGAAATGTGAGAATTTTTCTTTTCATCTGTTGTACCAGATGCATCTCTACTTGGTATTCACACAGCCTTCACACTGTCTGGATCGTTTGTCCCCCAGATTTGCCATTTTATGTCAGGATTTCCCCAGATGCACATTGATCTTACCATAGAGACCTGAAAAACTGTCCTTGCTGCAGGTGACTCAGGATCCTCGCATGGTGCTGCCACTTCAGTGGGAGGAGCTGGTGGAGGTGGAAGGTGCAGACTTAAAGCTGGTGTTCAGCTCTATGGCCAAACAGATCCAAAGCCTGCTGGCACAGAGAGACACTCACCTGGAGGTATGCACCCACAATTAAAGGAGTTTTGGAAATACACTTATTTGCTTTCTTGCTGACAGTTAAATGAGATGAATGATACCACATTCATCTCTGTATGTTAAATATGAAGCCACAGCTTTGATTTGATTTGATTTGATTTATTCTTTCAAGCATGTAAAAACAGTTGATATGACAACACACATAATTTTACACATAATCCAATATCAATTTGCTTATACCTAGTACATGCTTGAATGGAGTAGGAAGAAGTCAGACTTATCCAGTCCTACCCCATGACATCATCTTACCATCATTGGTTTGCAAGCAATAAATGATTCACTTCTACACACACACATATTATACTAAAAAAGA